TGCCATAGTGCAGCTACATGTGCCCACCAACCGATTGGCATTCTACGTAGGTCTCGCCCAAACCAGCCATCGGGACCTGCAGCCTTATCGGCTATGGAAGCCGAGACTGCGCGAAGTTCCTCGGCTTCAAATTTTAAGTTGAGAACCGTCTGCGGCACCTCAGGTACCTTCCGCAAAATGCAATCGATGGCCTCGTGCTTTGGTTGTGGCTCCGCTTGCCATTTGGCGATCCATTCCTTGGTCTGGTCACGTACCACGACCGACGGGTGTACGGGGCCAGCTTGGTCAGCCGAGGCAATGTCTAGCGAGCCTTTTTCAAACTCAAGTTGAGCATCGGCACTGGTTTTGACAAAAGTGCGTTGCTTGCCGCTGTCATCCCTGAGGAGTTCCTTCCAGCGGGCTCGTATGGCCTTTGCTTCCTGGTCCTGACACTCAAGGAGTCGTCTGTCGACGAACGAAGCAAGCTCGTTAAAGTCTGAGCGAACCCAAGGGAGATCAGAAACAAAACGGCGGGCCCGTGGAAGGGACTTCACAACCTTATGTGCAGTCTGAGGGTCACCGGTTGCAAGAACAACAGCAAGTTGGCGCTGGAGCTTTGTCAGTGTTTTAACTGTAGCCGAGCCCTGAAGAGCAGGATGAGCCTGATGTTCCATGCGGCGAGGCATCCACGACTGATGTCTGGGTAGGGCCTCGGCTCTATCGTGGCAGAGACATGTCTCCGCACACGCCGAAAGGAAATTCCAGGCGTGGTCGAGTTGTCCATGATTGAGGGCCTCACGAAACGGGGCACAATCGATGGATGCAAACGCTGCAGCGACATCCTCCAAAGGCTGATCGTGTGGGGATCGCCTCAGCGGACCCACATGGAAGTCAGGCACATTTAAAGGGATCTGATAGCCTACCGATGCGTGATCGGAGAACTCTGGATTGAAGTGCATGATAGCATCCGCCGCAATCGACCAGTGGCATAAGCCGAAATCTATGCGGCGCTTGCGTCCTGGCCCCGTGGCCGGAAGTGGGGCTCCTTGGGCCGCATCATCCAAGGAGTTTACGGCACCGCTGGCCCGAGCTTCGCCCACAATGGCCTCGTGGGGCTCTATCTTCACAAGTGCCTCATTGGACTTGTTATCCGTATATCCACGGATGGCCACTCGCGAGGTCTTTCTATCCTCGCCCTCGGGGACCCAGAGACGTATCCCCACGAGGGTCGCTAGCAGTTCTAGCGCAGCTATCACTTTCTTGGGGTCCCCCCTTCGAGAAGGCCCAAGGAGCCCGCCCCTTTAGCCGATCTAGCCGGGGGTCGGCAATCATTGCACGTGTGGGCTTGCTAGCCGTGCGTATGCAGGCAATACCACATCCTTTTGTTGCATTGCTCTATCCCGCACTCATCACAAACAACTATACAACGAAAGATAGCCCCGTCCGCGTCCCAACGGCCCACCCCAGGGGTGGCACCGTTGGGACGGCAGAATATCCATCCCTGATCCGGGATTCTATCCGCGAGCTGTCGCCCTGTATCCGTCTTGTTGCTAACCGCGACGAAGTCGTTGCGCCGTAGATCTCCAGATAGCTTGTCGGCGTCGCCCTCCGTAGCCTTGCCGGTCCGTAGAAGCCAGCCACCCAGGTCGTCCCTTTCATCTAGCTGTTCTTCCCGGTCTCGGGCTCTGGCCGCTTCTGCGTAGATAGCCTGGAGCCTAGCCACCCGGCCGCCGTTGGAACGGATATAGGTATCCGATCCCTCGGGTTTCCATCTCCCCAGCATATCTCTATCCGCTGGAGGAATCGGCTTCAGACTCAAGCCGGTGGGCAGCACGGCTCTCTCGCTGTGCTCCGACCAGTAGCCTCTCGCCACCACCGGTATCCCCACCATCGCCAATAGCCCTGCAGTCGCCACCATCGCGTCGGCGTAGGTAGCCATCTTCTTCTCCAGGGCACCCTTATCCCACGCGGCATCAGGTAGTCCCGCTGATAGCTCGCGTGGATCTTCAGCAGGTTGAAGCCCACCAGTAGCCAGCCCGGGTTTTTGAAGTAGGCTCTCTCCGACATGCATACGGGTAGCTCTCGTATGCGCCGGTTAGCCCCGCCACCTGGTGTCCTACCTCTTCCGCATCCTCAAGAGCGAGGGTAGCTAGCTCGAGCACACCGAAGCCCCGCGATGCCAGGTGCTCGTGGCACCTATCCAGCACCGCACGCCTCTGCACAAGAGCGCTATCCCTCAAGGACGGAAGTGCAATGGGACTCCCTATCCCACCGGGGGGGGAACCTGGTCCCACGCCCTGCTCGCCCGGCGAAGCCGGAGGCAGGACGGTCGGACTACCCGGCTCCTCGCCCCCAGGGCTAGCCGGCATCACCGTCCGCGAAGCAGAGGGGGTGCGAGGAGAGGCTGCCATTCTCGCTTGGCTAGATAGCCAAGTTCCCCTTCTCTCCCCTCTACTTCAAAATTACCCCCCTGATGGGGGACTTTATCCAGAATGGCCACGGTCACAAATGCTTGTAGCCATTCCAAGTCACAGCTATCCTGTCTTAGCATGTCAGACGCAACTATCCTGCGAACGACGATAGCGACCGAAACTTCGTTTCTAGCGAAGCTACCTTCAATAGCTTCGTTAGAGTAGGTTAGCTAGCACACATAGTCGTAACTCGTTCCTCGTCACGAGGTACGATCTGCCGGAGCCAATGGCAATTGTGAATCACCGTGGTACACTCGGGGTTTCGGCAGATGAAGCGCTGATCGAGGCAGTCGGTGATCTTGAAGAGCCAATCGGTGAGCGGAGCCTCGTTGCTGACCATGTTCCAGAATGTGTCGCCGTCCAAGTGAGGATCGAGGGCTTCGCGATCGATGTCTGCTCCCACTCTCGTCGAATACTCGTAGCACCTGCGCCTTCTTGTCGGCATCGAGTCGTGCAATATCGCTGACAAACCGGTTGGTGAGGTTGAGGATCCGGAAACGTACCTCACGACGAATCGCGGCTTTCGACTCCCCGGGGCGCTCCCTCTCGATCTCGAGGCACATCGTCTTCCAGCTGGAAGCTCGTCGTTGGTTGACCTCGTTGATGAGGTTGCGCCGAATCATGGTGACAAACTTCTGGCATAGTCCGTACCAATGGAAAACGCCGATCGTGTACTCTGCGGGTACCCGATCAGAACACAGGCTTCCGGATCCATCGGCACCTCGACGTGTCCCAAAAGGAGTCGAAGTACACTTTCGAGTACCAATCGTTGTCGCGCTTAATCGCGACATGCCAACCGGCAGGTTTGGACTCGTGGTCTTCGTCTCTGTCCACAGTCTGAGCTCGATCGAGATTGTCGTAGTGCTCGTTGCGCATGGTCCCTCGCTGGCCGAGTACGGCGGGGGAAAGGGCCGAGCACTCGGAGCACCATACGAAGTCTTCTCGCTGGCCCGTCGCGCATTGACAGCAGCACCGGGGTTCACCACGAGCAAGTAGGGCGGGAAGACTGGGCAACCCACAGAACGTCCAGTGACTTCGACGACGTCGAGTGTAAAGTCGATTGTTTGTCGCGCGAGAGGTATCGCAAGTATTCGGCGACCCTCGACACGTGTTTGTCTTGCTCTCTCTTCCTCGACGACACTGACGACTGTCGGAGGTCGTGGCAATCCGTCGGAGTCGACGTCATCACCGGCGACTTGTCGAAGCCAGATCGCCAGGAGGCTGCCAACTCGAGGGCCCTCTGGGTTGTTTCATCATCGTAGGCCCTGCATTGCTGTTTCGCCGCCCGTCCTTCGAGAGAATCGGGATCAACCCACGCAAGGACCCGGGCAATCGGTGGTTCCATGGGCATCCGACGACCCCTCCGACTACAAGTACAGTGAATCCTGCTACAACTTCGATGGTTTACGATGCACTCGTCCCTCCTCCGATGACCCCCGCACGACCTCCAGCTCAATAGCTCGAAGGCTTTCGAATGAGATGGGCTGAATCGCAGGTGGTCGAGAAAGGACGAACTTCGCTTGACGACCTTAGCTCCAACCCATCGAACTGAGATGCCGCAGTTCGGGTTTAACACGAACTTCCACTTCGATCCGTTCCCGATCCTGCAAGGTAGTCTTCGAACTTTGACACCGGTCGGAGGCTCGAATGTGGCGATGATTCGTCCAGGGAATCATCCGTGTGCCGCGTTCTCCGAGGATTCACCCTGGCAGATCACGCATGACGGGGTTATCTACCTCAACCAGATTCTGCGATGCCCCACTCACGGGAGCACTTTTGACACCCTACGGCCTATTCCTCGATCTACCATTTCACCTTCCAGCAGGTCACGTGACATGCACGAGCGGATTCAGCGAGCCACGGTCGACACTGGTGTACTCGATGGTGTGGCACACGATCCTCGCTTCGATGGCGGACTTACATCATTCGAGTGTACCCGAACGGGTCACACGACTACGCCAATTGTGCTTGATCTCCCACGACCTCTACCTGACGGCGGACTTGCGTGGCTTCATGGGTTCTTCCGGGATGCTTCGAGACACTGCCAACGCGATTTTGGAATGCACAGTCTCGATGATGCCCACGAGCCTGCGATCTTGGTTCGCGCAGCAGCCCGACTTGACGACGATCATGCTCGCCGAGCCCCCGAACTACTTCTTCAGACGCCGAGGGTGAGCATAGCTGTGTCACCGGGAGATTGGGCACATCCGGATCAAACCCTTTCCTTTTGCCCTGACGCTGTGGTTTCCGCCTAGGCGACGTACTCAGCGGATGGTCCGAACATACCCGATCCAGTTCAAATGATTCCCGCATTGCACGGTTTCCATGAGTGTGCCGCTTCCGCCAAGGCGATGTCCGGCCACCATGTTGTCCGACGAAGTCGGACTCATGTGTATTCTACAGTGCCCGGATTGAGTTCCCCTTCGAAACAACCTGCAGCGCTGACATTACTTGCATCAGGCTCCGATTGCATTAGGTTTAGTGAGTCGTTGTCGGAGCCTACCGTCTCTCTGGAGATTGCGTTTGGCTTTAGCTACTGTAGATCACCGATCATACCCTTTGCTTCCCCTGCTTCCCAGACATGACCCGCCGATCCAAGCAATCGGGTAAATCGGTCTCCTCCGACCCGATCAGTTCGGGGAAACCCAGGCGAGCCAGTCGAGCAACGCGAAAGCTCCCGGCCCTGTGAAGGCGACATCCCTGGGGGCAAAGTTACTGTAAAAGAAGTGGGAGTGCTGCTCTGTGCTCCAGAATTGTAATCGGGGCCTTTGGTCGTGCTTTCACTGGGATCATCTCAGAAGAGCTCGTCGGTCTAGTCGGAGGCGGCGTAGCCGGTCGTGCTGCCTCGGGGATGGGCTGCTGAACCCACTCATCCTCGAAGGTGTCCCATGGGTCCGCCGGCTCGCGATCAGCTCTGCCCGCTTGCACCTCGTCGTCACAACGTTGCCAGTCAGCATCAGTCACCGGAATACTCGGAGCGGATCGTCGAGTAGTCGACTGTGGTGGCATAGCCGGCGGGAGCGTGTCTCCATCTTCAACATCGATGACTTCGGTGATGACCGGCTGCATCTCCTCGAGCCACCACCGCGGCCGAAACATGCCGAAACTCGGAGCTGTGGAGTTATCATCGGTCGACTCGGCGAAGGAATGGTCGAGAGGGTGTCGAAGAGGATGCCGCCGCACTCGAGGACGTTGCAGGAGCCTCGCGGGCCGGCGGAAAGGAGCCCCGACCCGGTGCAGGCGATCTGCCTCGGTTCGTCCACGAAGCTTGCGGTGGTCGTGAATCCCCGCGACATGCAGAGGTTGCTCGGGTATGTCTCGGAGACTGTGCTCGACGAACATCGTTCAGCCGTGCTGTCTCCTGCGCTCGTTGGTACTCTTCACGTACTCGAGCGGCATCGGCAGTGTAGTCCCACTGATCGAAGCTGACATATTCGGTGAAGTGGGTGCCAAACCGCCACTTGCGAACCTCCCTTCGGCGATAATCGGCCAGCGTTGCCTTAATGATCTTCGCTGCATCCTCGCAATTGATCTGCCGCATAGTGCCGCCAGCCTCAGATCGAAATTGATTCGGAGGTCTACCAGCGTTGCTCGCTCGTTGGATCTGGAAGGCAGCTCGAAGTGCGGTGGCAAAGGTCTGACCATGTTGATTCCAGCAGGAATTCGGGTATTCGCAAACTCCCTGAAACCACTTGTGGCAGATAAAATCGGGGACCACCCAGTGCTCGTTGATGAAATCGGGATGAAAATGCGGACAGTTCGTGCGGCTATTGCAATTCTTCCCTTGCAGCTAACGCTCGCAGATAGTCTGATTGAACTCACGGTACGAGATAAACGTAGCGTTCGCGACTACCTTCGGGTACACATCCAGCATGCTCTCCGGGATGGTACCTTCAAAGGTCACACTTGACCCATGACACAGAAACTCATCCCACGAATCGGAGCGATCGGCCATGGCTAGAGTACTCGAGGGGTAGTCGAAAAAGAAAATTCAAGATTAAGTCTTATACCAAACTGGCCACGGACATGAACATGATCGTGTCAATCGACATGCGCAGATCCTCGTGTGTCGATGAATGTAAGCAGGAAAGACAAAGTTGTCATTTCGCACACCCATGTGCTACACGACAAAGAAAGCTGCTCAACAGCTCGAGATGCAATTATCCCTTCCAACTAATGTTATTGATCCGCAGCAACACACTAAGGTCTGACTTTGCAGATCTTCTTTCTTGGGTCGCGGCGGCGTGTGCAGCGATGCGAAAGGGCCCTTTGGCTCACCTGGCGAAGGCAAGTCTTGGATCCGTTCCCTCTCTCTGCCCCCTGCACACTCTCCGCTCTATCGCAGAACTTTGGGCACAAGTGGAGTGGCAATCCTCCACCGCTTTCCGCGTGGTCTTGGCCACCTTCCCCAGAGTGCTGTGAACATGCGACTCCAAACTCTGGCTGCTCCATTCGACCGCTGCTTGAAGAAAGTTAGACTTTCCATGAACTCTTGTTTCCGAGAACCCCATCGGACTCGGTGCGCCTGGGTCCCAAGTCGTTGCTGTGTCTCCGCCTTTTAACAAAGACAAACTCTTCCTAACTAACTCTCACTCTCTTTCTCTGACTCTCTGTCAGGCACGGAGTCTCTCACCTCCTGGAGTCGGCAGCCGCGGCAGGTCCTCTCGCAGGTGTGAAGGCTTCCCAAAGCAGAAGACAGCACAGCAAAGTGCGGGAGAATGCGGACCTCTATGCGAAGGGTAAGCTTTGACATGATCTGCGGATGGCATGGCCCAAGCAGTCACCACACCATCCACACCGCAGACCGCAGCCAGAAGATGCGATGTGAGAGCCCTCAGCAAACCGCCTTCCAAACATTTCCAAACCTCTTCAAACATGTCCTCTGTCGGTTCGGGGACCCGGTTCACACCCGGTGGCTGCAGCAGCGGCCCTGGCGAGTGTTGGCTGTGGCTGATTGGGTTCTACATGTTAGTGCCTCACGAGACACAAGAAACTCCGAAGCCTCAAGTTAAAGAGCTGCCGTGAGGCCAAGCCCAGGCCTCGATTCCGCGCTTGGGGCGTCAATCGCAAAGCCTCCTGCGCCTGCTGTGATCTGCTTCCAGGAGCTAACAGAAATCCTTCGACGGCAGTGAGCCGTCAAGCCCTGCAACGGAGTCTTAGGTCTGCTGCACATGAAGCGTACTATACTAGCAGTGACTAACAACGCCTGAACGCGCCCTTGCTCGGATCCCTGTGGACGGCGAGTATCTACACCAGTGGCCATGCACCGAAGCAGTCAGCAACACTATGAACACAAGCAAGTTTGGGCATTGGGTATGATGGAAGCGCGAGGAGAACACCAAGAACTAACTCCAGGCCCTTCCACCAAGGTCTAGTCTCCACGATTCTTCAAGACACCTGCCACAGCTGCAAGTAGGTTGTAAGGTTTCGGCTGCTGCTGTCTCGTCGATGGCAAAGACAAGAACTGGAGCTATGTAGCTACACTTCTTGATATCGCGTTCAGTTTGAAGTCCACGCGCTACCTCAACCCACCTCTCGATATCCGTCACAGTGCTGTCTGTGACAAAACTTCTTGCGTACGCTGCAGCATCCCCTAGCAGGATGATGCAGGATGCCTCTGAGCTCGATTCCGGGGCCGCCGCAGCGGCACGAAGTAACTGCGAGGCCTCGGTCCAAGCCTACGCCGCTACGCACCTCCCTCTCTGACAAGCTCTGCATAGATCTCTGTTCTTCCTCCTTTCTCCGCTCCCCCTTGCCTTCGCCGCTCGATATGCCTGGCTCAAGGGATGCTGTTTATCTTGAGACGGAAGTTTATTTCCTTTGTGCGCCACCTCCAGCGTCGTCTCATAGCTGCGGCCCTCTTCACACCTTTGCCGCTCCTGACACGCCGCTGAGTGTGGTCAAGTCAAGCTCTTTCGGACCGTTTTGTCCTTCACGCGACGCCGTCCCTCTGTGACAATGACAGAGGTCATGAGCTCGGTGAGCATCCCACCAAGATGGGGTGTGGACCTGCAGGAATCGGCTCTCTTGAGTAAAGAAATGCCGCCATCACTTTCGGAGCGGCCTGTGCGCGTCAACCAGCGCCGCCACTTTCATCGCGAAGACGCTGCAGGTCCCCGTCGCCGAGCAGCGGACCTCAAGTGCTCAGGCTGGGTCACCTAGCCAACATTCCACCCAGTATGCTCTCTCTGAGGTGCCAGGCCGCACAGTCACGAGGACACCCGAAAGATTGCAGGGCTTCCTTAAAAGGCAACCGGACCGGAAGCCAGGAAGCCGAGCCGTCAAGGACACTCCGGAGCCTCGCCCAAGAGGACCTCGAAGCCGAGCATGGTGCCAGCCGGGTAGGTCTCAGAAAAGTGCAGGGCTTGGATTCTGTGACAAAAACACTTTTGGACACCGTCGGTAAAAAACAAAAAACACCCAAAAAGAACCGGGAACGCCGGATGCAAAGGGAAGGGAAAAAGTGAAAGGGATACTAACTAAAGGGTCCTTGTTCGGTGAGGAAAGGCGAACCAGCGGCATCCCAGCAGATCTGAGAGCCGGTCTTCCAGAACCAGGTAGCTGTCGCCAAGGTAGACACCACGAACCTTCTCTCCGACGCCAACACAGAGCAGAAACTTCTGCAGGGAGGCGCCTCCTTCTTCCGCCGACGCCGAGTGGCTGGGGCCTGGGTCCTCGGTGTTACGATGCGATATCCAAGAAAGGCCGAGGTTCGCTGCGGCTCCCGTGAGGACCCGGCAGCGGTCGGCCGGTCGCATTGAGAATGGCCTGTGACGCTCTGACGCTCTCGGCTCTCGCGCTCTCGCGCTCTCTCTGCCGTCCCCGCTGCGAGCAGCTGCGAGCCTCGCAACTCCCCTCGTAGACGAAGATCAAGTCACTGCTGCTGCCAGCCTCAGAGTACTTCAGCTCCTGCGCCTTTACTCACTCCCGTTCTTTCTTGTCAGCACAGTAGCTTCCGTGGGCGGCACGATCAACTCTCCAGGCGCGAAGGCCTGGACGAGTCATCCAACTCTCGAGCAGCACAAAGTGCACGAATCTTCCACTCCCACCTGCGGCTCCAATAATCGCACAAGTAGCGCTTGAAGCCTGCACACGGGAAGAGCCAGTGTTGTCCTTCCCTGTTCGGATCTTACAAGAAGACGGTTTCTGCCAACCAAGTATCGGCTCAACCCTCAGCTGAGAGGAAACAAACACGAAATCACCCAACAGATCTCGGCAACATCGCGTGGCTCTGCACTCCCAGGAGCAGTTTTTGAAAGACGGAGGTGGGCATTGACTGCAGCTGCAGCACATTCGGCACCATGCTGAGGCTGAAGCCAGGCCGGCATCGATAACGCGAAGAGGGCAATGCCCCCCCCGATCACGTGCCTTGGCTTGCAAAGTTGCAAAGCGCAACCTGTCCCAATTTCAGATCTTCGGCGAAGTCCCTGCCTGTGGATATGAAGGATAACCTCACGCCGCAGTGGTGCAGGCAACCTGGGCCAGGGCCAGGGTCGGGGCTAAAGAGACAGCTCTGATCTGCTCTGACGACACCTGCCCATCTGCTCTGTATCCTTTGGTGCAGCCAAAAAAACTTTTGGAGGATCTCGGGTTCAGCATCAAAAGGCGACATCTCCTGCAAGGGTTGTCTAGCTCTGTCCCCTCCGTCCCTGAAGCCGGCGAGAGGCCGTGGCACCTGATACCAGAACTCGACGTGCCGCCGCACGGAGTTCACAACCTTGTGATGGAAGCCGTGCTCCTCAAAAAGGGCTGCCGAGGCGGTGCTTTTCTGATTCTACGGACCCGTGGGGTTGAGACGGTTGAGACAGGTTGAAGCATTCTCTTGTAGCCCTTCCAGTGTGCGCCCTCGATAGGTTTGCCACATGGATAACATAGGTTTTGGGGTTGCGTTGTTTGTGGGTTGCATTATACGAAGTTTCACTTATGGCTTGCTTGTGGTTTTGGTAAGGTTCCTGCACGGGCGACCTATCATGGAGATATTCTCGGCTCGTTGCAGAGCATCAGAATGGAGCCTTTAGATAGTCTTTAGTTTTTGAGCGATTACTGAGTTTGTGGATGTATTATGGCACCACGACTTCCTGCAAGCTGGTATATGGTGACATTGGTTGTTGAAATCATACACAAATGATAAAATAGTATGAAGTTTAATTGTGTTTTAATAGTTTTTTTATCGCTTGTGGACGTTGTTTCAAGCCTCGAGCCCATTAGCTGTTCCATGGCTTTCAGGACTTCGGTTTTTTCTATGGTTTTGGCTCCAATTAAATCCTCGAACCTCATGCTCTAGATAAAGATTCATCATACCAGCACATGGCTTTTCATGATTTTTTGGAATCTTCAACCGACCCTGGGATGTCTTAACCGTGAGGGATCATGACTCTCCTCGCAGTACTGCCGCATCATCAGCAGAGACCTGTCACATCGTGTGCCGCTTGCGGCAGGCTGTAATGATCACTGTAATGCTTGCAGCTCCGAGCATATGTCCTGGGATCCCGCACTGGGCTGCAGGGTTTGGGCGACCATGCGTGGCCATCTCTGCCACGCTGCCCACGATGTAGCCTCAGCAGCAGCGCAGCACCATCACCACCAACCCCAATAGCAGCAGCCGCAGCACTGCCACCACCACCATCGGAACCAAGACAACCACCATCACCTTGTTCAATGTCACCGCCAGTTTTGACCTGCATCCCTGTATCACCATCATCTCCGTCCTCATCGCCATCCTTACAAACTTCGTTATCACGATCTTGTTCTTCGTCATGGGAGTGAACATGACAGCAGGAAAGCTTGGACACCAGCAAGCAGACAGCGAGATAAGCGCGATACGCACCGCCATGGCCGGAACCCCGTGGCGGCGAGACACCGGACAAGATTGCAAAGCACTCCTTTCTTAGAGCCCAAGCGCGCTCACGTGTGAAGGTCTTGCAGTGCACATGTATATGGCTGAGGCCCTTATGTATGCATGAGCAGAGGGAGTTCACAAATGTTCACTCCGCTCAGGCTCTTGGAAGTGTCTAGCCCCTGGCACAATCATTGCAAGCATGAAGGACCTTGATCTTAGAAGACCTGCAATGATAGCAATCACGATTGTTGTGCCAGGACTTGCCAGACGAAATCACATAGAGATCTCGCCCGAAAGGGGACAGTCTCTCTTGCGTTTGGAGTCTTTCCTCCAGTCGCCTAATCGTCACGTAAGCGTTCTCGCGGAGGTCCGCAAGGTGTGCAACCTCACGCTTCAGGCGACGTATCTCCAGCTTGAGCGCCTCGATCTCGCTGTCATTCGCATCGAGGCACGCGGTATCCGCATCCATCGCGTCTGGTCCAGAAGCTTCCGCCTGGTCTTCGTAGGTGGTCTCCGGCGTACTCGTAGAGGTCGGTGTCGTCGAAGAGGTCGTAGGCGTTGTAGTCCAGAATCGTGGCATCTGGCTCCACCAGTATTGTAGTGATCCCCACAGCATCCATTCCACGCCAATGATGACACATGCTGTCATCACAATCCAACTGTACCAACCACCATCGTCATCGCTGGTAGAGGAAGAGGTCGACGTAGAGGAGGTCGGTCTTGTCGAAGAGGCCGCCGCGGTAGTCATCATAGAGGCCAGGATACATGCCATAGGCTCGTTGAAACGGTAGAACACGCGAAAGCCGGACTCAGCGTGGTCACCTGCTGTATAAGCTCCGTGTCGGTGAGGGCCTTCGCTGACATGTTGCAGTTGAGGAAGACGTCTCAGCTGCATCTTGTGGTCGCCCTGGTTGTAGAAGTTGACCGTGCCTGTCGAGAGCAGCTCCATCAAAGGCGGTGCAATCATGCTCTTCGTGAGACCATCCGCCGTCATGCTCTCTGTGGGCGTCAGGACAAGCCAGCTAAGACGCCCATGCAGACGTGCCTCGCGGAATGCAAGGATGTACAAGCGCTGCCCCTTGTTCGGAATCGTTGCCGGCTTGAGCTGTTTTTCAGAAGTCATCTTGAGTCATAAAAAATCCATCTGCCGTCCTGCTGTAGGAAGGGAAGCTCCTGCCGCGTGACACGTCCGAACTTGGCACACAACTTGTTGTATTGTTGTGTGAGCCAGGAATTCTTACTCTCCGCATCGACATCATCGACATGAGTCGTCCCCAGTGCTACAATGCCTTGCTCGCCCTTGCCCCGCATCCAGAAGAACATGTTCTCGTCACTCGTCTTGAAGACTCGGAATTCCTCCGGATGCCTCGAAGTGTTAATGATGGAGGCATAGCTGCCAGGCAAGAGGTGCGTCGCTCAAACCGTAGACTGGCTTGAGGCACATGAGCACATAGACATCGATGCGATCTTCGGGAATTTTGAAGGAAGGATCGCAGGCAGCTAAGTGTCTCAACACATTTCTGGGAACCACCAGGGCCACTTTTCTCATCGGAGCTGATATGCCTCTGGAGGAGAAGCTCCCGAATTTGTTCGAAGGTGAGGCCCTTGAGGAAGGCTCCGGAGATGTCCTAGGACTCCACATCAAAGTCTTGTGTGGCTGAGACGGACATCAAGAGCCGCTGACTGAGCCTGGTAGCCGTAGTCGAACGTGTGCTCAATGAGTCCTTCTGCGAGTCGAAGCAGCCCCTTGCGCACAACCTGGGTTTCACCTTGCGCGTTCCATCTGCCACGTGCTTCCATTTCCGAACCCATCTGGCATCTATGACTACCACATCCTCGGTGAGGGCATCGTGCATCTTCCTGAAGCTCTTCGTCTCCACAAATTGGCTGACTTCTGATGCATCCGCTTGCTCCACCTGTGGCCATACGCCGTAGACCTCATCTTCTTGGATAAGGTCGGTCTCGTCATCGACCTTGTACACTTGGCCCGTTGCGAAGAGGTCGACGTTGTTCTTGCCGGGCCAGGTAAAGAGGTGCTCGTAGTGGTTGATGTGGTGGTCCAGCTTGACGTCGTCAATCGTCCGATCGCTGCGCCAGCATAGGCATCGGCCCATATGGTCATCCCAGAGCGCCATCATGCTCAGGTTGTCGCGCTCCAGCCAACTCATTGGAAACATTTGCAGCATGTTGCGTTGGCTGCAGTCATGGATTTGTTCTCGGCACACAACATCAAGCAGCGCATCAAGCTTCGTCCTCTTGGATTCCTGGCCGATGACAACCGTCGGGTGTTCGGTCCTTTCCGCTTCAGCTCGTTGTCGACGTCATCGGCCATGTTGGTCGGAGAGGAAGGACTGACCTCCATGTCGTCGTGAGCCATGGTTGGCGACGCGAGGTCTGCAGAAGTGACCATGTCGCCCGACTCCATGCCAGGCTGGTGATCATCGGCTGCTCCTTCTGATGGTAGTACCTTCATGTCCTTGTGTGGTTCGTAGTCCACGTTAACGTAGTAGTAGACGCAGATGAAGGCCAGCTTTTCAAGAGCTTTCGCCGTGATCTTCTTGAGTGTGATCGGGTTGTCATTGGTGTGCTCGTGACAGGTGTACTCCTGAGCGGCAACTTCCCATATCACCAAGACACCCACAGATCCACAAGGATGATGGAAGCTGCGCACGCTCTGGCCAACCATAGCGCCACCGACATTGTGGCTGGAAAGCCCTTTTCCCAGTTCCACGATCTTGGTCCATGTCTCTTGGTAGGACAGAGAACTGGTAGAGGCCCGTCGCCACACGGTCAACTCGTCCTTCTTTTCCATCACCCAGCCAATGGTGGTGATCTTGTACGGGGACAGCTGTTCGGTCATCTTCTTGAGGTACTTGAAGGCGTCCTGCTGGTCCTGATCAAACGTAACGAAGACGCCGGCCACATGTGGACGAAGATTACGACGTCCCATCAAGTAGGGACGCCCCTGGTAGGAGACAGTAGCCGTGCCTTCTTCCTTGTCCAGCTTGAGTAGCTCTGCTGGTCCGCGCCAACCAACATCTCCTTGCATTTCTCGGTAGATGTCCACTCGGCTCACACCGGGAACCAGTGCTCCGAACTCAAGTTGGTGCGTTCGAGTCCTGTTGGCACGTGCGGGGCGATCCTCAGCGACCGCTCGCTGAACCATGGAAAGAGACATTTGACGAAACCTCAAGGCTCTCTCGAAAGGGGTGATGTCTGTCTGGAGAGCACTTGAGACGGCCGCGATCTCCGTGCTGTCCTCTTGGTACAGCGGTCTCGGCAGAGTGCCGTAGACAGCCATGCTCGGTGTAGCGCCGCCGTAGTTGAGAGACTGGTTGTGGGCGACGGTGCTTTCACGAGCCAGTTCATGAGGCGTCACTTTGATGCCCTGTCTGTCCATCTCGGCTTCCAGCTTGGCCATGGTGAGTCGCATTAGGCCAACACGCCTTTCGATCAGCCCCGTGCCTGTTTGCTGGGCTGCTGCATCGCCTTTGGTCTCGATGATGAAGGGTTCCATCTCGTGTCCTGCTTCATGACTCATCAGCGACGACTCCTGATCCATGACAAGCTGGTGGGGCGCACCGAAGTGGTAGATCCAGCATTCGCGCAGCGTGGACAGCAGCTCGGTGGCCTCGTCCAGTCACCGCCGTAGCAGCTTGGATCCAGACCTCCTGGTATTGGAAGAGGTCGAGCTGCACTCGCTGATTGAAGATGCCTGCATTCGCTCCGACCTTGACCTGTGGTCGATTTGGCAGCCTGACATACTCTCTGCAGATCGGACAAGACATCACGGCTTCCTCGGCGAGCGGAAGAACACTGCTGGGGAGGCCTGCACGAAGAAGCATGTTCTTGAAGTCCGTATTCGGGCAGCGGTAGAAGCGCTCGTGAAGCCCCAGAAGAAGCCGCGTCGCCGTGTGTGGGTCACTTTCAATGATGCCGCTGTTCAAGGTGCCGATCGAGGAGGATCAGAAGAAGAAGCGGACGGTTCCTCCCCATACTTTCTCTTTTCGGCCGGACGAAGAGGAGCGGCAGGTTGAGCACTGGCGGGACGAGACCCGGAAGAGGCAGGCGGCACGCCGGGGCGGTCAACATCAGGGTCGCCCTCACGGTAGCCAAATGACTGTGACGTGCCAGTCGCTTTCTTCCACCTTGGCCTTGAGCTTCGACGGCGTGAACCCGCCACTGGCGCACGCCGCCACGGATGAGCATGCGTAAGGGAGCACAGGCCGTGCTCAAGTAGGGGTCCGGAATCTTCAAATGCCAAGGACGAAGAGAACACATGACCCCGAGGACCTGAAAATGCGCGCCAAAAGACATCCTGAAAAACACGAAGCAAGACGGGGTCAGCCAGTGGTCATAGTCAACACCGGTAGCCTCCTGGAAGATGCTGATGCAGGACTTGAGAACCTCAGTGAGCGCCGCCTTCAGGTAGAGGCGATACTTCGGCGACGAGGTCGGAGTGGCATCGACCTCAGGCGCAACGCCGCTGTAGTCGCCGTGACGAGCAATCATCTTCCAAGGAGCTGAAGGGTCCTCCATGTCACCACGAGCCGGGCGCGAAGTGGCAGGTCGCCCTTGGCCACGCATGCTTGGTTGCCCGTAGCGACTTCACCAGGAAGCATAGTATGTTCGCAACCGGGAGGAGCAGCACGGCCAAGCTGACAACGTTCACAGGAGTAGTAGAGGCCGTGCACATACCAAAGCTTGCGGGGCCATGCTCGACATTGAGAGCGATCCAGTTTCCGAAGAATTTGCCATAGATCTGCATAGCCGTTTGGGGTAGACGGCCGCGAGGTTGAAGCCTGCCCACTTGCCTTGCAAAGCACCGTGTGTCTGGCCCTTGTGTCCGCCACATCGCTTGAGCACACCACGCCAACGACGGTTTCCGAACCGGTCGGCCGCGTTCATCAACAGCACCCAGCATGCATTGATCCAAGCGTTGCTTGCTGATGCCTTCGTGCTCAAGAAGGCGACTCGCAGGGCTCTCCGAAAACATAGAAGAAGACAGGGGCTGCTCAACCGTAAAACCACGGCCTTCATTGTGCTGCCACAAACAGGCTTATACTCCAGAGTGGGAAGCTCAGCACAGCGGTTGGCCTGTCGTTTCCCAGGGTCGACTAGTCGACTCCTGCTGTAGCCACTTGCACATCTTGTTCTCCTTCTCGGCCACGGGGTTTGCTTCATCAGTGGGCAGCAGGTAGTGCCCAGAGTCAGTGAGCAAAATGCGCATCATGTGCGCCTCGCCCTTCTCAGTCTGCACCACCAGAGCACCATCACCATTGCAGAACCAATTGGCGGCTCGCTGTCGCCGTAGTGCTGGGTTATAAGACAGAAGAGCAGGACAAAGTGAACCTTCTCCGGTCACGAGGGCGATGGGCGAGGAGATCTCGCAAAGTCTCTGAGCCCACCAATCCGGAAGCTGCTCCTGGGTCCACCAGCAAACCGCGTCGTTTGTTGCCGAGGATGGTGTGATAAGTCTCCGTGCTGTAGATGGAGCTGGCAAAGTTGAAAGCAAGCTTCTTCTCCGGCAAAGCAGGAACTGCAAAGTCTTCCGTAGCATCTTGCGCAGCATCACCACCGCCTGGTCGAGAGCGACTCCTGGGAAGGATTGGCTCTTCATCATCGCGGTCCATCTGGAAGTGGACGGCCTTGCGAGGAGGCGTCTCGAAAGGCTTCTCTGAGTCAAAGCTCCGGCGCAGCGTTTCCTCGTTCCTGGTGTAGCCGAAGTAGGGAGAACTCCAGCTGGCACCTTTCTTTCCCCGGAAGCCCTTGCCTTTTGGAACCCATCTGCCTTTGCCGCCACCTTTCTTGCCGGGGTTCTTGCCCGTAGCCACCAGAGAAGGGCTTGCCAGAGCCCTTTCCCTTGGTCCTGGATGACCCTTTTCCTTCCTTGCCGTCAGCCACCGGGCAAGAGGAGGGCAAGAGGAAGCACGGTCCGCGGCAAATCGAACATCCCGTCGGTTTGCCCTTGCCCTTACCCTTGTGCATGGGGTAGCTTTCGGCCTTGGCGTCGCCCGAGTGGCTGGGGGAACTCTCGCCGTGATAAGCAGGATGTTCCACATCTGGTTCCGGCGGTGTCTCCTCGGCCATGCTTCTTCCTCGTACTCGGACAAGTAATTGTCATAGTCCGGAACCCAGGATTCCGCCCAGGACCAGCCTTCTTCGTACCAAGCCGCAGTGTCCCAGGGCTGTTCCCATTCAGAAGGCTCTCCCACTCATCGGCATACCACTCCTGGAGCTATCGGAGGCCTCGTGCTCGTGCTCGTAGTATAGCTGTCGTTGCCGCCGATGTCGTCTTTGCGGCTGATAAGCCGAAGGGCCAATGCTCGAGCCTCGCGGAAAAGGCGCAAGTCGCCCTGGAGCTGCAACTTGATGTCCTCGATGAACTTTGCCGGCGAGCCTGAGCCACGAGAACAGGTAGAACTTCGCCACGTCATTGATCTGAAGCCCTACTCTGGTCGTGGCCTCCTCCAGCTTGCAGTCCCACTCTACCGAGTACTCTTGGAAACTCAATTTTCCCCGGGGGTACTCGAAGAACTCTTCAATCGACCTTGAAACCAGCTCCTGGTCCGAAACTCCGAAAGCATCTTTCAGGGCGTTACACAGCGCCTGAATGCCGGATGGCACATGCCTTTGAAGAATCACCGTCGGGTCGACGGTGAGGCGTGCCAGCGCATCTCCTCTTTTGTCCACGCCGCCATCTGGCCTCGGAGGCCCCCATCCAGGAGGAACTTCCCGAAGCAGGATGCCTCCGGTGCCAGGTCCCGAACTGGAAGACGATGCCTTGTCTCCGTCGAGGAGGTAGAAGAGAAGGTGGTAATCGGCGAGGCCCTGACTCTGGTTCCCGAGGTAGAGGAGAAGCTCGAAGAAGAGAGCGTGGATCTCGAGCCGTAGGCGTAGTAAACTGGCGAAAGAGGAGCCTCAGTTGCCTGCACGGCGGCACTGGCTCCAGAGAAACGCCGCTCTGCTGCGGCCAGCAAGGGGTCACTTCCAGCTCCGACCTTCCCAGGCAGCTCACTGCCGTTGTTCTGGTAGTAGGTGCTGTCGCGGGAGGAAGTCGGGCTGCTCGAATTTCAAGCCTCCAGCCAAGTTCAACTCACAATCTGAATTCTCAGCAAAGTAGTGAAACTCCTGGATCGGCTCCTCAGCAAAGGTGACGGTGTTGGGCACTGCGATGCCCGTCTTCAACAGTAGACACCAACACGCGAAACGAATTGTTGAAGATGCCGCTGTGGATGTCCTGAAATAGCACCGCACAGAAGCAGCGCGAGGACAAAGTCCGCCGGCAGCCGAAATGGCGTTTGGATCTACGCTGAGCCCGAAGGCTCCGCTACCAAACTTGCAAAACACTCCTTTCTTAGAGCCCAAGCGTGCTCACGTGTGAAGGTCTTGCAGTGCACATGTACATGGCTGAGGCCCTTATGTATGCATGAGCAAAGGGAGTTCACAAATGTTCACTGATTCCGAAACACTGGGCCGCCTCGAGACCCAGTCCACGACCACGTAGACGCCGGAACATGGAACACCGGGACATCTCATTAGATGCCAACACACCCGGACACCGAGAAATCTTGACACACAACACAGGGACACCGATGCAGCAGGAACCACGACAACGACAAGGCCGCTGTATCGAGCCACAAAGACGCCTGGAGTCTAACAAACAGAGGCAACCAAAAACTTGGCCTTGGCACACGCGATGACCGATGATAACCAATTGACATTTAATTGGCTTAAGGATAAACCCACCGCTTCCTGGCAACACCAGCTAAGCACACGAACGTGACTGAAACTAGCGAAAGACCGGGACACTGCGCAATTGCACTCGCCAGCGCGACGCTCTTTCACGCCATGTGGCAACAGCCCTGAAAGCCCGCGCACATGGGCTGACAGCAAATGTTACTCCACCCTGCCGGGCGCTGTCAGGAGCCATGCTTAAATCCGGATAGACGGCGATACTGCTGGGAAGGTTTCGGGAAGGGGGGGGGGGGGGGGAACACGCGAGGGCGGCGAGAGTTGGGAGGGGCCTTAGTATCACTTCAGCAGCAAGTCAGGCTTGGAGCAAAACACAGATGTCACATGCACCTCAGCCCTCGACACACGGAGCCAGCAAACTTGAAGTTGCTCTGCTTATTGGGGGCTGAAATCACTTCAGCAGCAAGTCAAGCTCTCAGCATAACACGGATGTCACATGCACCTCAGCCCTCGACACACGGAGCCGAGATACTTATGCTGAACTGCTTATTGGGGGTCATACCACTTCAGCAGCAAGTCAAGCTCGCAGCATAACACGGACGTCACATGTACCTCAACCCTCGACACACGAAGCCCAGAAACTTTATGTAGCTCTGCTTATTGGGTGGTCATACCACTTCATCCGCAAGTCAAGCTCTCGGCATAACATGGATGCCACATGCACCTCAGCCCTCGACACACGGAGCCGAGATACTTATGCTGCACTGCTTGTTGGGGGAGGTGTCATCCCGAGCATCCTTTCAGCTTCGGGCATAACGTCAACGTGCACTTTAAATCTTTTGCTCGTGTGCTCGGCCCTGCTTTTGAGGGCGACGTTTCATATGTTACATATCACATTTCTGCGAATGCATTGCGGGCTACAGGGTTGCCAAGTCCAGACTGCCTACCGGGAACATCGCAGCATGTTCCGTGAAAGAAGCGTTCCAACAAATCTGTGGGGAATACAAATGTGCTCCCCGTCTGTTGCCAACCTCATTGCAGAGAGCCTGTCCCGACTTTCCGTATGCGGCTTTATAGGGGGTCACGAATTGCTGGCATGTTTGCCGCAGCGAAGACGCAGGCATGCGGGGAAGCGGAGTTTTGGATATAATTTCTCATGACAACGACGTGGGCCCCAACCCCGGTGCAAGGGGACGCACGAAACGACAACACACGAAGAGTTGTGAATGCTTTTGAGTTAAGCACTGACAATGACATGACAAAGTACCAAAAACCCCGCATCAAATGTGATGTTTAGAACTGTCTAATCCTGGCCATATAGCAAACCCGGTTTCATCACAACCACACTGCCACTGCCACCACAACCACAATCACAACAAAACTATCATCAGCAGCATCATGACCGGCAGCAACATATCATGATATATCATGGTGGTAAGCAGCAGCGGCGGCACGGCGGTGCGGCCGTACTAGTCGCAAAACCAAACCTGATCGGCATCATCAACATCAGTGTGGTCATCAACGAGATCACATGCAAACACTGATACTGCTGGGTGTCCTCATTCTCATTCTAATCCCAACCACTATCCTCATTGCTGATCTCGTCACCATCACCAGTAAGTCGACAGATGGGAGCAGATAAGAGTAGAGGTCGGGAGCGTCGGGAGAACACTCGTGTCACCTTTCGACCACTCGCTTCGCTCCAGGATGAGGAGGCCACCAAACACCGTGGCTCCGAAGATCATCACACCGACCTGAAGGGACCACCACAGGGCGAGCTTTTCTTTTGCAGGCCTGGTCTCGGCTGCAGGCTGCAAAGACACGTTCGATGTTGTTCATGGGAAAGATGTCTCCTACAAGGGAGAGTCGTTCGGCGATGAGCTCTCACATCGTTTTGGACCGAAAAGATCTCGATGAAATAGCAGGCTACCAGTGCAGGCCAGGGAGCCATAGCCCACAGTGGTCATGGTGGTAAAGACCTCGGCTGTGCTCATCGCCTTCTCCCACCTTTCAGCCGGGCAATCCCTCAGCTGCGGTCCCGGCCCAGTATAACGCTGCCACATACTTCTTCGCGTTTGTATCGGTGTCTTGGGAACCCCTGGGCAGAAAAATTTTGCAAGCTGAGACACTAGTCGTCACTACATTAACATAGACCACATGAAGGGACCTTAATATTCGGAATGCCGCTTACCGCTGCGACAGACGTTCTCAAGAAACGAGGTTCTTCAAGCATGAGGCTTGAGTCCATCGTCTCAAAGAGCTTCCTGTAAGGACATCTGGACACCTGTGACTTTCTTTTGTGTTGAACATCTTACTTCCGACCCCTCACCGATGGTTTACCGGTCTGAATCGGGTTTCAATGCTGGGGCCGCTGACCCGGAACCCTGAAGCCAGGTCGCCGAGCCGTCCTTTCGAGTGAGCAGGGGCTTGGGGCGTGAGCTTTTTGATGCCCGTGTCCACCCACATCCCATGCTTGAAGCAGGATAAAGAAACATGACCGCGGATTTCACACAATGAATGCCAGGCCCGCTCTGTGAAGCGGCACAGCCAACCTGCCGCCCTTCAGGCTCCCTTAAAATCGTTTTGCACGAGGCGAAAAATCACAAAGCTCAACAGGACCCAATTGTGCAGGCGGTAAATGCCAAGCTCAAGAAGCAGGTTGCCTCTCGCTAGCTAGCACCTGTCACAGAAAAGATTGTCTGACATCTTCGCTGCCACAAAATTCTGTGAATCCCACCGATTAACCAGCACGGACAAGATACGTGACAGCATGTTGAACCAGGTCCAGGTCAGGTGTTACTGAACTGCCAAACCCAGCCCCGAGCAGGTGGCCCCAAGGCTCATCGGTTCGGACTGCACGGTTCTATTGTCGTTGCGAGGGCATGACTGTGAAAATATGTTTCGAAGACCTGCAGGCCAGTCACATCCCAACTCGGGAAAAACAACGGGGTCCAAAACGCGTCCGCAAAGGTCCTCAATGCTGTCGTCGCCGAAGCACTCCAGCCGGCCGGAGACGCAGCCCTTGCAATCGCATTTGGATTCCGACGTGAGGGCAATAAATCTAGATTAGATTCGAGCGCTCGGTGATTCCCGGCTGTCCGACAACTACAATCAATCAACCCGACAAAGAGATCGCCACACCCCATCATCAACGGCGCAAGGAGTGCTCCAGAATCCCGCCTGTGGATCGAGGGGTAGGGTGGCCAGCCAATGCCACATGCATGCAACCACATGGGCCAAGAAGCAGACGTTCATGAACCTGAAGTGAGTTGCTCGATGGCAGTTGTGAAGCTATTCAGACTGCGAAACTGCGCTTGCCGACATCGTCACGCTTTTCAAACACTGGCCTGCTCCAGCTCCTATAGAGAAAGCGTTTGAATAAAGATGTGGCTCCGGATGCTCCGGGTCCTGGAGAACCGCGGCTTTGCCCTCGTCTGAGGCTGTCACAGCAGGCCCAAGCGGAGAAACAGTGGTGACACTTGGACAGACGACCTGGGCTGGAACGGAAAGCATAGCCAGCATGGAGAATCCTTGAAAAGGTCCCGCCGCAGGCCTAGCCGGGCCTAGCCGCCTTAGCCCTCAGGTCATGGCTCAGCTGAGTGAACCAACCGGAAGAGCTTCAGCATCCGGGCCAACCTGTGCTGCAACGCTCCGGCGCAGGTGCTCTGATCGCCAGTGCTCGGAGCCCTGGGTCCCCGGCTTCATCAAGCGGAAGATTCTTGCAAACCGGGCCAGCCTGGCGACACTCACGAGCCCTCCCCCTTGCCACCTTGCCGAATGGGAACCGGTGACATGCTGGACGCATTGATGCAAGAAAGAAATTCGAAGCTTTCGAACTGTCAGCAATCCGGCTGTCTTGTGTGAAGTGAATTCGGGTCGAACCATGCCACAGCACTTCAGCATCCGTCCATAGTTCGACGCATCAGCCAAGAAGGCCTCAATTCGTCACAAAGATTCATGCATGTCATCTGGACTATCAGGGGCAGCTGTCGCAGTGCGACCGGAATCACGAGTGCCCTTCAGACCGTCCCTGCAGCCTCAACGATACGATCAATCGGAACTGTGGACAGGAAATCCACCAAGAACTGGCCCTTCAGATAGTGCCTGCATGACATGGACTTGCAACATTGGCAGGGCAAGGCATGGAGCATCCGGGCGCGGCAGGCCTGTAAATGTCATAGGGAACCGTGTTCACGAGGCCATTGAAGTCCACAAAGGCCGTTCGACAACCTCAGGCTCCCCGGGTCCCGTCCCGGAATCGAATCCTTGTGCGCGAAGCGAGAACAGCACTCAGAATCATGTCCAGTCCAAAGAAGACGTCCACGATGACCTTACCAGGTCAGCATCGAGCCTTCTCAAGCTGCCCTGACTCTGCTGCCCTTCTCCAAGGGCACTGCAGCATTCACCTGCAACTGAGGCTCTGGCATCCACAACGATGAAGAAGGATCCCTTAGTAAAGTCTGACAGCTGTGATGAGGGCGGGAATGACATGCCCAGGGCGTGTGTGATGAAGACTCTCATATGTTTGCCATTGTGCAAACTAACGGACTGCTGTCGCCAAGCTGCAGGTGTCGCATGGAAAGACACCGAGAAGGTGATGGCAATCACCTTGCTCGTGTGAACGAAAGGCAACTGAAGCTTGTAAGCCAGCGCAGTGGTGCGAAGCGGATCGGCATTATCTAAAGTCTTCTGGCCCTCTTCTACAGACAGGCCCCGGCAGAGTATATGATCAGCGCACCAATCCAGAGGTCCCATCTCGACAAGGCAATGGTAGACACTGTGTGAGCACGCACGAAACTGACCACAACAAATGTGGGCAAATTCCTTTTTCCACCGGCAGCTCCTGAAGCGGACCCGAGTCTTTTTCACCTGACGAACACAAAAACGGTCTGGGCTAAAGCTAGCAGCTAGCAATAGCTACAGTCTGTCCTTCAAACTACATGCGCTCGCACCCCACCCAAGCCTCGATGCGAGGAGGTCGTGTCGGGCACCTCGCCGCGGAGCACGCCGTACGGCCTCGTCGCCACTCTCCACGGTCAAGGCTCTGTCTTCGCAGCAACGTTACGGGGCCTCCGAGTCCGGAAGAGTTTCGAAGGCCTTCAAGAGCACCAGTAGTGCCTGGCTGGGCAGCTGAGTCTTTGGACATTCTTGGATTGCTCTCTTCTTCCCCGGGGCATGAGGGGAGTGCGAAACCCCTCGGCCCTAAGGGCCCCCCCGATGTTCGTGGGGCTTTTGGAAGGGCGTGAAGATTTTGTGAAGGTTTTCTCCCCGGTTGATTTTAGACTGTTTTTAGTAAATCTCTCTCTCTCTCTCTCTCTCTGTCTCTCTCAGCGGTCCTGACGCGGAAGCACTCGTCCTCTTTGCCGGCGCTCGGCAGTGTCGAGCATCACGCCAAGGAAGCTGAGGTCGCGATACCTGGATGCTGCGTTACTTGGCATGACGGCGCTACGTCACATAATTGCGCGACAAAGTAAATCGTGCACAGCGCAGTGGCGGCACGTTGCGTTTGCACTCATGCACAAGAGCGATGCTTTCAGGACAGGAGCTTGTGCATGATGTCTAGGACAAGCAATGTCAACGAGAGGTATATGCAAAGTATCGAGCAGACCGCACCGAAGAAAACCCACGGGCAGGGGCATTTACAGCCCATCCGCTGGGAGCTCTGGGTGATGCCGGGTTGGGGCAATCGTTGACTACCACCTCGATGGATGAAAACGAAACAACACCCGCTCGATCGCACAGCTGCCCCAAAACACAGCTCATTTGGGAGTCATAGCAAATGAACCTTCAAGTTCCGCAACAGGAAGAGCGAGGTGTTCTATCGATAGGTCAGCAAGCACACCCCGACCGCCTCATTTAATCTTGCAGTCAAGCCACTTTGCGCAAATCTCCCAAGGCTCCACGACATGGACCACGTAACCGAGACGCTCTGCCAGCAGCACGTACCTTCGCAAGCGCAGGAGTGTCAGCGTCTCTTGATATCTCTTGGCAATTCAGGTATACTCAGGTACAGGGGCTGTGCAGATAATCTTGACTCTGAGCTGGATCCCAGGTGCGGCCGCATCTCCCAAAGACGGAGATTGGACGAATCCTGGGCTCACGGGCTTTGCTGCACTCCAATCACATTGTTTGTGCAAGGCCCTCTTGCCAGGGTTCGATGAAAACTGGGTGAATCCCGGCTTCCATCACCAGCAGGGCACGGGCCTACGGGCTTCATGTCCGGGCAGTCGCTTTCTTCCTGACTGTCCAGCAGAGGCCTCGTTTCGCCGGTGCGCTGCTTCCAGCTTGAAGGGCTCACCTTCAGGCGGCGAAATCCAATTCCGGAAGACAAACCTGACCCTGAACTGCCACCAGAAGGTGGCCCGCATCTCTGAGTTTCCGTATCTGGGACCGGACCCAAATTGTTCTGTCTTCTACTCAGCCAGTCCCGGCGACAGAGCGTGCCTCGAAAGGATTCCAGAAAGTCGTCCACCGAACAGACGTGGGTGAGACGCGCAGGCTGCTCCTAGCAATGAGCGAACTTGGGCAATTTCCTGAGGCATGTAGCAGCGTTCAGTTGGATGCAAACCTCGCCGCGATCCAGCGCCCTCATCTCGAGCCTGGATACATTGTTTGCAAATGTTTGCAACATCCAACCATTTGTGTGTTGCGATCCACGAACGCTTTCGTGCATGCAGCGCCGGGAAACAGCCGCTCCATTGCATACTCGGTTTTCCCAATGCCTCGGATAGAAAATGGCAAACGGGGGGGGCCTGTGTTGTCCACTTTGTCGGCATGCAGTCCCCATGAATGGAGCATCATGGAAAAGCGGTCCCAATCGATAGCCGCAACTCGAGTCCGTCATAGTTTGGGGAGCGATTCCCCCCACATGTGCCACCCCTAGCATGGCAAGCAAGTCCCAATTTGCACAGATTCGCTTACGTATGTGCTTGCTTTTGTAGATGTAGTTGAACCGTGGGTCAGTCCGGATGAACAAGATGGAGCTGGCCTAAGAAAAGCTGTGCGTCAACAGGAAGAATGCATTCAGCCTTGAACACGCTGAGGTGCTTGCTTGTACATCGACTGCACGAACACATCCACATGCGAAGTGCCCCAACTTTCGAACACGCACGAGCATGTTCATGTGTCGCGAGCTCCTCCAAGCTTGGCGCAGCGTGCTTGAGCCACGTACCCAACAACAAAGAGTTCTCCGGCACGTCAACAAGAAGGTAAACACGAGACATAATTTAACAACATGGCCTGAAGACACCATGTACCCTAAGGATCAGTGCAGACCGTCACATGCAGCGGAAGAGTTGCTGACAATCAATCGTGGCTTCCACAAACGAGCGCCCAAAGATAGATTGGCAGCCGAGGGACCTGGCAGTCCACGCAAGATGTAAAGTTCTCGCGGGAACCGAGGACGTGCCGAGATTTTCTCTGCATATCCTGGGCTGATCTTGGCTTACAATCGCCCAGACGGATGGATTTAGGCTTTCACCTGCATTGGCAGCTGACAACAGATGGCGCCGCAATGCACAACATGCACAACAAAGACTAATCTTTTTCTGCTGGCACAAAGCGCGTGGGTCGAGTGCATCTGCCCACCTTTCGGAAAAGGGGTGCAAGGAGTGCACAGCCTTGATATCACAGCAAACGCAACCGAATCAAAATGCAGCTTTGCACTTTTTCTACCTGATCCTCACATCTACGTACATGTTTCGAAAGACCAGTTTCGGTCACAGGCTATTTGACACTCCTCACCACTTGCAGCCAACTGATGTTTCCAAATCGTTCGGTCAAAAAGTCGACAGGCACAACCCCGGGATCCAAAACCTCAACCGACTCGGCCATCACTGCGACATCCAGCAAGGCACATCTTCGCAGTCTCGCTGCCCCATACCTTCTGGCAAAGCATGCTCCAGAATCAGCAACTGCCAGTGACAGATCATCGTCCTCCAACAGCCTAACCACTGCCACCTTTGGTCCGCACCATGGCATGCGCCATCGTTGACACAGGGTCCCTGGCAATACGAATTCACAGAGTAATGTGTTGATCCACCCAAGCTCTGCAAGCCTGTCGTCCAAAGCCAATGGCTGGGATCCCACGGAATGTTAGACGACAGCCACGCCACTTTACCAGGCGTGTGCACATCGCAGAACCCTCCTTGGTTTGTTCCCAGTCGTTCCCGAAGCTCGCCTCCGAGAGCAGTCACTAGCCGCATACCATCATGCAAATCGATGGGCTGGATGGGAGCGAACGGCGTTCACGAGCTCTTGAAGCTTGATGTTTTCAATGGCGCAACCCTCTTTGGTCCCAATTGTCGTCTCGCTGGCGTCCCGCACGCGGTCATCATCTTTGATCTTTTCCCTGGGCAACACAATGGACTTAACGACGAGACGGTTGTTTAACGCTGTTTTCCCATCGTTCCCGGCAGTTCACCCAACCTAGGACCTAGGAACATGGATGGGATGGAGAGATTTACACACGAGGCTACCAGCGTGACACGCCTGGTTTACGGCTGGCGAGTGCCCCGGCAAGCTGGCAAAAGGCAGTGGGGCGAGCTTTGGCCGAGCTCGGTTGTGCGGAAGCCACCTCCGGACTCTGTTTCACAACCTCGAACACCGTCGTGGCTGCGCAAGGGTTTGTGCAACTTGAAGCTGATGCTTTCCTTCAAACAAGGCTAAACAAGGCTGAGATCTATGAGAGCTCTGGTGGGTACATGGGCCGAACAGCATATCCGCTGAAGACCTTCGCCCATATTTCCATGCAGCAATATGGTCTCGGCTCCATTTCAGCGCCCTGGTCCAGCAAACCTTACCCTGGTGGACTCGCAGCTTCTAGCGAGGTCGATCAAGCCAAAGGTTAAGAAACGAATGCCATGGCAATTTAGCACAAGGTTTTCGGTCGCGTCGATGCGCAATTCAACAAATTGTTTAAGCTGCTCCAAGTCAAGTCACTCGTCTCGAAAACTTGCCGCTTACTGGATTCAATTGTCGCACACACGCTGCACGGCCAGGGTGTCCCAACTTGACATGTGACCGCATTACTGCTGTCTGTATTATCTTCTTCCTGAGCGTCACATGGTATAACGTCCAGTGGCACCGCCGCTCGGGCGTAAGCCTTTCCGTGGGGCACATGGTGCACGGATGGTGTTCTGCTGGGAGGTGTCGTCAAGATCCTCCCGCAATTACCTGCTGAACTCGGATAGCCATTTCCCGAAGTCGAACTCATGGTTACACTCGCCCACAACCTTTGGTCTGGGTGTAATTAAGTTTTTGTGGTCTGACAGCGTGCCGTTGGCTCATCTGGGCCAGGGTCAGTTCGCCACATTTCTGCCCGTTGCTTGTTGGTCTGGTCCTACAAGGCTCGCCGACGCTCTAGCAGCTCCCGCACACTCCGAACGGTCCTATGGCTGCTTTGCCTTTTCCACCCCGTCGCTGTGCTTGTTTGCCTTTTCACTTGCCCTTGTTGTTCTTATCCTTCCCTTTGCCCTTCGTTCCTTCATCGCAAAGATGCCCAAGTAATTTCTCGCCGAAGTGCTCAACACCCTTGAGCTTTCTTCAAAGCCCCGTACACATCTCCCCTGTGATCGTCCAGCAGACCGTCGAGAAAACACCTAGAAGTTTTCGGCAACGCCCCGATAGCCAGATAACCTGCCGTAGGCTTCGCCGGGCCATGCAGTAGTCATTCTCGTCATCGTGCCAGAAGGCATTTTGCGAAAGTCGATCGACCCCTCTGGACCTTGATCCTTTCGCTGAAGTTTCCCATTAAACAAGTGGCCAAGATGGCCCAGCTTAGCACAAGGCTAACTGCCGAGGTGCTCAGCACGTCCAATCCCTGGCACTCCACCTTTTAGCTCACCCAAAGCAGCTTGGCTGACATACAGTAGCCTGACAAGGCCTGGTCTGTGGGGCACCGTTTTGGGAGCATGGCATGGTCGAAGGTCTGCTCCTGCTTGGACTTAATTCACCTCGGGCTGCTCCCGTGCCAGCTCAGCACTGCTTCCATCTTGTAGTTCGCATATCTGCGGTTCCCATCTGGAATGCTTGCTCCTTGGGCTGTTCGTGGCAAAGCTCACGGCTGCCGGCTGTCTGTCGCCATAGTCAAGACGTTGCTGAATCATGCCTTAACCCAATCCTCGAACGACTCCGAGTGCGTCTGCACAACTCTGTTCACATGGCACAGCAAACACAGCCGAACCTGAGGCCATGAGATTCACAGAAAACACATTTGCCAAACCGACCACAGCTGCAGCGGAGGCGCGCTGCATCTGCACCCGTTGGGCCGTCTGGTCGCCGGCTTTCCGCCCGAGGCTAAACACCAGCCGGGCCTGGGCTGAGCTTTGAGTGCTGGAAGTTTCCAGCGGCTGAACCAAAAGCATTCGTCTCGAAGTTGCTCTACAGGGTAGGCGAGCTGCCAACTCCTCGACACAGGCTCGAGGGCCCTGCGAAGCTGCGGCAGCCACCGCTGCCTCGTCAAAGTGTTCCTGCAGAGAGGGGAGTAAACAGGTGAGAGAGAAGAGGGTCAGCGCAGTCGCCTCGTCGCTGTCGTCGCCAACCCGAGGCGGCGGTCTGGAAGGCAGGGCAGGACTGAGAGAAAGAGACAGCTGCCGAGCTGCCCTTCCGACCTGCCTTCGCTCAAGCGGGGCGAAGCGTGGTGGCCGCGGCGTATCGTCCTCGGCCTTCATGCCTGGCACGAAGGCCGATCTCAGAGCAAATACCCCTCGTTGGACCATCGCCTGCAGAGTCTCCGACAGGTTCTGCCTGAGCTTCGACCTGCTCGTGGACGTTTCCACAAGCTCGGGAGCCCGGTGCCACGGTGCCTTGGCACCTGTGGGCGGAAATGGTGGAGGTCGAGGCTCATCCTCCTCCTGCAAAAACTCTATATAGCTGCTCTAGCTCTTCCCCCACTCTGCAGTTGTGCAGTATTGCCCCCTGGCTCCTTGATTTCCGCCTTCACTGCCGAGAGGTCAGCATCCGGAGCGAACTGCCATGGACAACGCGAAACGCTCGCTGCATCGCCAAGGCAAGGTGCACTTAGCAGGGCCTGGCACAGAGACACCCTTCGAAGCTACTCACCAGTCGCCTTGCGGTGGAACACGGCAATGAGGTCATCGTGACCACGGAGGATCTTGAGAGCCGCCCTTCAAGCGAACAAGCACACCTTCACTCAATGGCCAAAGTCGGTGAACCCGTCTGGATTCCAAGGCCCTCTGAGAGGATCTAGCAGGACGGAAGCGGAGCCCGCTAACGCGAAAGAATCTCTTTTCGCATCCTATCCCAGCCAGGCGTCTTCACATCCACGCATCCGGACAAGGCCAGAACGAACTTGTGGTACTCAGCCACCTGCATACGTTACTGACATGATTCGGCACCGGGAAAGCTGCCTTAGCCTGGCAGCCCCTGGCAGCCCCCGGGCAGCCTGGCCTTGCCCCATTGCGTCAGCCGAGCCTTGACTGCGGCCAGGAAGGTAGAGGCAGTGCTCTCCTCTTCCAGGGATCCAAAGCTCGACACGAAGCAAGGAGCCCCTGGTGGCCGTCGCCTCTGCCTCAGTTGGCCCTGGCCCATGCCCTGACTGCACCTTCAAGGACAAGAAACGCTTCACTGCTGCAGCTAGTTACCATATTCTTGTACCTGCTCGCCAAAATGCTCATGAGTGTCAGCACGGACTGTTGAGGGTTGCTGCTGCTACCGCTGCTCCCCAAGCACACCTCCATTTTCTCCTCTTCCTCCTCTCCCTCCTCCTCGTCCTCCTCCCCAAGGGCTTCCGCAGGATCTGCTGAAGGCTGTTCCACCTGGAAAAGCGAGTCAGAAGCACCTCAAGAACGGCAGCAAAAGACACGAACCCACGTGGCACACTTTTCGCTGCCTTCGCTCGCTTTGGCTGGGTGCCCGTGGAAGCCAAAGCAAGCCTAGCGCAGAACCCCGAACAGATCTTGCGAGGACGTCTGCCACCCTACTGCCGTGCTCGCACTTTGAATAATACCCGAAACTTTACTTGGAGGCTGTGAAGACCCCGAGTGCCCCGCCTCTCCGCTTGCTGCCGCTTCCGAAGGCGCTCCGCACGGCTGGCCGGTGGGAAGGCGACCATGGCCAAAGAAGCGAACCGGAGATCGAGGATTCTTTCTGGCCAGAGGCCCAGGAAGTCAGGAGTCCCTTGTCTGTTGTACACATGCTGCCCACGGCTGATCGGGGCACTGGAAACACTACAGACCTGCTGCGAAGACCTACGCTGCAAGAGCATCGGAAAGTCCAACTGCAGTAACTGCACGACCAGACGATCAGCTCCGGGCATGATCTTTCGAGAGTCGTTGTGTGGGATCACCCAGCGCCTCGAGTCTCGGCAGGCTGCTTCAAGCATCTAACAGCCTCACCGGCAAGCCCAGTCCACAGCTGCGGTGTGCTCAGGACTTGAGGTGATCCCAGTACTCCAAAGCATCTGAATGGCCAACTTCATGGAGATGTGGGGGCTGACAAGGCTACGTGTCCACCGCCTGATACACCGATAAGCATACAGCTGAAGATGGTAATGACGAGCATGTGGATCCGCCGTACATGGCCGGTCATGAAGCATGAAATCGATTGTCTGCCACCTGCAGGGCATCCACGGTTCTCAGGTGAGGCTATCCTGTCAAATTGTGGCTGCGCTTCTCGCGCAATGCGACAGACATTGGAGAATGCCGTCAGGGAGAAAGGCCAGCCGAACCGCCCTCGCCCCGCCGGTGTAAAAAAGTGGAGTCATTGGCACCGTCATGACTCTAGAGATATCATGCACAAGATGTGCATCACTATCGGGAACTGTGGTCTCGTAGATCTGCTACAGTTTGGGGGATCTGTGTGGGATAGGCGCTCTTGAGGCAGGAATGAAGCGTTGACTACAGAGTACCGAAATGCCATACGTGGAACATTGACAAGAAGAAACCGATTCGCCGTCGCGGGTCGTCGCTGAGCTTGGAGCCGGATGATGTCCTTGTGACAGAAAACTCACGCGAAGATTTAAAGTTGTTTGCCTCAGGACGTGTGCCGCTTGGTGCCGACATTTGGGTCCTGAACGGGTTCGACCTCCGTCACCACCTGCATGCTGCATAACTGCTTGCAAACTTCTGCCCACAAAGCCAAAGATCATCGAAGGGCCCACTTGCAACCGAGCACATCCCTCGGCTGAACAGGAAACACAGACTCCCGCAGTCCGAGCCTACACTGTAAAATGTTGAGGAGATGCAAGTATCACTTTCTGTCGGACGTTCCCCACATGTCCCCGCGCGGCGTGCGCCTTGCCGCCCTTGTCCAGTCGCTTGGAGGAAACACATCGCACAGCTTCCTGGGCAAGACATGGCCAAGTGCTCAGCCTCCAGCGACTCCAGCGGTGCCCTGGTGTCTCACTTGCCGCGCTGAGCCGACGGCTGAGACCTGAAGTGACTCGTGATTCATCGCACACGCTAAAAGTTGAATGCGAGATCACCATAATGCGGAGTCAAAAAGCGAGAAAAAAGGAGACTTCCACCTGGGAGATGCTTTGTCGAGCTATCATGCTATCCATCCTGGCGGACTGCCTGTGCAAATCCAGCTTCGTCCACCTCCTCAAGGACCTTACAGGACTGATCTCCTCTCTGAGCTCGTCTTGCTTACATCATCGAGTGACAGTGCGGCAGGGCCCCCCACGTCGGCTGGCAGCTGGCGCACGTCCGTGGCCTTCGTGCGGTAGACCTCATACTCAAGCTGCTTGATGGCAGTCCTAGACAGACCTGAAAGGTCGCTGCTGATAAAGCTCGCAGCATCAATGCAAAAGACATTGCATCTCTCGGCCCGTACTTCCCCGCACATGACATACAAAGTAGCTTTTGCAGATCTTGCGATCAGTGGCAACAAAGAAGTCAGGAGGAGAGACGGCCCACATTACAGGCAGTAACCTGGACAAGGCCGAGAGTGGTAGCAAGGCTTGCTCCTCGTAGAACACGATCGTCGAGCACCGCAATCATCGAAATCAGAAACCATAATGTGCGCTGCCAGAGCTAGAGAGTCTTCGCACACATACGTGACCGTGCAAGCCAAGACCCGTGCCACCAGCCCTTTGAGGCGCTGCGTCGGCTGAGCATCAGAGTGGAGGAGTGGAGGAGTGGAGGAGTGGAGTAGAATGAGTGCTTAAGGCTTACGGTCCTTATGGTGCTTGGCTTCGGGGCGGAAGATTGGTCTACACGGATCGCCTATCAGCCTGTCAGGGCCTGTCGTGGCTTGCATGTACCGGCTTACCACTGCACCGAAATGGCCTTTGCACACTGCGGAAGCTGTCCGGACCACTCGGCCGACAGCATCGCCCTGGCCAGCTCCTGAGAAGAGGGAGCACTTGCAGCTCACATTGGCATAGAGCTCAAACCTCAGTCGAGGGTGACTCTGGTGTGGCTTGTGGCTTGTCCCCTGGCCGCCCTCTTAATAAGCTTCACGCTCTTTCCCCGGTCCGCTTCCCCCGTTCCCTTGCTTTCGTTTCCAGCCTTCATTCCCGCCTCGAAAAAAGCCTACATGGCCCCGGGAATCTGCGAACAATTTCGGGGATCGCTGATTCGCCACAGGCCTGCTATACTCCTAAAACACTCGCTGAGCTCTCCTTCAATCTTTGGTTGGCACTTTCTCAATTTCAAGCTTCAAGCCATCACGGTCGTCCTTCGTGGCCGAGCGACACTGGACCTGCCCCGCAGGCGCACACACAAAAGGAGCGGAAGGGGATGGCATTTTCGCGATTTTCTCCACTGCCCTCACCTCGAACTCCTGCTGCCGGCCGGGGTAAGCGGACATGGCCCTGTCCAGGATATCCTGATTCGGTCCACAGCCCACTTGGCACACATGAAAAGCAACCTATCTGGCTCAGAGAGATCATGACAAAGCCCACCTGATTGATGGAGAAGATCTCCGATTGCCAACATCCACCTGCACAAAACGCGTACAAAGTGCGCACTTTTTGCGCTCTTTCCCACTAAGCAAAGCCCAGGCTGGGCTTCCGCCTCGGAAGCGAAGCGGGGCCACAGCGCAGTGGCCGAAAGCCTGGACAAAACAGACCGCGGAGATTCTGAGACTCTGCTCTGCTCCTCTTGCTTTTTGTGACAACGAGTATCTCACACAAGAAACCATAAATCCCTGGTGCACGCAGACTGTTTTCCACCTGCTTCCGCAACGGTGGCGTAAGTTTGCGTATCGATCGATCTTCTGCGAAGTCGATTCGTAGTTCATCATTCGTCACAGGAATGTGATCCGTCATTTCTGCGCAGGACCGACTGTTTCCCATCGGTGGTGGTCGCGTCCTCCCATCGTAGGCGAACGCTACTCGCCCTGAAAGTAAGCGGCCTTACCGGCCCAGTTTTTTCAATCGTGCATGGAGTCTACCGATTTCAGGCATATCGGAAAACCTCTCGAAGAAGCGAAGTGAATGTCACCCATGATCTTGGCGGCACAACTGGTCAGGGCTTGTAAAGGGAGGTCGAGCTTAGCCCATGTGGCCGACTCCTCGACGTGCTCGAATCTGCTGATCCCGTCTGAGATGTTGGCCTTGGGGGTACCCGCTCGAGTCGGTGTGCGAAACTTCGGCGATTATGCCACGTCCAGTGCGCGGCAACAAGGCAGCTCAAGGGCTGGTGTTTACCAACTCCTCTCAGCAGGGCATGTCGGGAGGCCTCGTTGTCACAACACTGCACGTAGAAGGAGTCGAGCCAAGGTTCGAAGATCAGCGGTGCGAGAATCGCCACCCAGGCTTCTAGGAGGTATATGAACGCCTGGTCGGAGGAGAACTGACGTACCAGGACAGAAGGTAGACAGCACACCGCCGCCCAACCGTTCTCAATCTCCGATGTCTTCTTGGAGTCCCAATTCAGGATGTCGGGGCCTCCAGGCTTATGGAGGGTGGAACCCAATTTGAAGTCCGTGTCGGTGTAGAGCACACTGTAGACGGGTTTCGTAGGAGACCGTGGGATCGTCATGGGTTTGCAATGACGAATGATATCCTTGAGGGCTAACAAGGAAGATCTCGTTGGCTTATCGATGGTATGAGTGTTCGAATTGGCTCTGGCGTACAGTGCCTTCAAGGGCGCGCGTCCCACGGTGCCAAACAAGCGGCCTGTCAGGAAGTTGCACTTCCCCCATCTCGCGGGCTTTTGTTCTGGTGAAATAGATCCAAGCTCGAGGTGTCGATCGATCTGTTGGCACATCGTGTCCACCCGTTTGGGACACGGGGTCGAAACAAGGTTGTCCTGATCGGACGAGACGATCACTCCTAGTCTTCGGTGAGCGAGCTCAGGAGGGCTTCATCGCGATCTGCAGGCAACCATTGTACTTCTCGAAGGATTCGAAACTGCTTTCTGCAGAGGTGCTATCCTCCATGGAACCGGAATCATCGACGTAATGCATCGCCGGTGACAAGATCATCGTGCGGCTACAGGCGACGAGGATGTCGCTGAATCGGTTGTATGACCAGGCACTGGCTGCCGATCCGAAAAGCAGGACACTATGAGCTCCACAATGTGGGGCCCTCCGGAGTGAGTAGCAACACATAGGCCTCTCTGGGGTCTCGAAGTGGCAATTGTCCTCGTGGTCATGTGCCCAGACTGAAAGAGGTCCTCGAGGGTCATCGCCGAGGAATTCGAGGCCCAGTGATACGAAGTGATCCGAAGTGTGGTGGAATGGTTGGTCGTGCATTGTGCACGTGGCGTTGTGTCCACTGCGGCGCCAATCCTCGCCTCGACGTATCTTAGTGTTGCCGTCGCTGCTCGTCTGTTCGATGCTGACGGCCATGGCAATGTAAGGATCGGAGTGCGGTATGGGCAGCAGCGCTCGATGTTTACCCGTTGAGGGCGCCACAGATTGTCGGGGCCACCAATCAGGGGCTCGGTATGGCCCGTTCATTCGGCCCACGTCGACTTCGGCCAAGATCTCGTCCAGCATCATCTCCCAATGTTCGTCGACCGCGTTCTTCACGAGCTTATCGGTGCTATATTGCCGATTCTTGTCGCTGAACTCATCCAACGGCGCAGGATCGAGATACTTCTGACCTTGGCGGACATGCCAGTTGACGCCGGGGGTAAGTTTACCCATGAGTGGAAACCCATCGGAGAGTTCGTGGTATATGAGCTCGGTCTGCGGGTAATTTATCAACCAGAAGCAGGTGAATGAGTACCGGGATCTGAGTCACGGAGTCTTTGTGTCGGTAAGCTCGTTGTACGTGTTCAGGTAGTGTGTTGAACCACGCCATCGTGTGGTCCTCCATGTCATCGACGAGGTCCTGGATGTCGGAGATGACGGCCTTCTGGAATATATTCTCCCCAAGGGTGAAAGTCATGCCGATGTTTGATACACCACTGTAGTGCGGGGTCCGAGACAAATGTGTTTCTCTCGAAAGAGCCCACTCCAAGTATTCCGTCCATGAGAACTGCGGCATGTAGTCGTGGTCAGATGCCCGAGGAGGGGGTCCGAATAGAACTCGGTGTTGCATCCAGAAGTTGGTGACATGCTGAAGCACGGAAGTTCGAGGTTGTGTGGGAACTGTCGCACCGACCGTCCCCAACAGGGGGAGGAACAGGATCCAAATCGCTGTCGGAAGATGCCAGGCGTTCCCCAGTGCTATGGATCGTCTCATCGCCGGATCCCAAAGCAGCAGTGTAATCGAGCGCAAGTCCTTGGAGTTGTTCACGAAGCGACACCGGTGGCGTGGTCATGGAGCCGTCCATGAGTGTCACAAGGAACTGACTCTCGTATTGCCACGGTGGATATCGGCGCTGATCTTGTTCCCATCGGCTCCAAGCCTCTCGCGATGTAGATGGTTCATTCATCTGTCGGGGTTGTGTCCTGCCAAACGTCGAAGTAGCCGGGGTAGTGAGACAGTGGAAACCCTTCTTGTCATTCTGCAAACAGTGGGGTATGTCGAGTAGCCGTCAACCGCCAAAGGATTGTGTAATCAGTAACCGTCGGTGGTGAGGGGTCGCTGTAAGTCCATCGCCAAAGGATTGTGTAATCTATCCCAGCCTCCGTCATGGTACCACCCGAGCGACCAAGGGGTAAGTCTGGGATTCTGCTTCTCGATGTGACTCCAGGAGATCGAGGTCGATCAAAGGTGTTTTCGGTGCATGAGACCGGAGTCGGAGGCGTCCACAATGATGGGATCCACGCCAAGCGGAGTGGTCAGCTCGAGGAGATTATCTCGTGTGCTCGGGTGGGGCACCACGTTCTCGAAGACAGTTTCGTTGGGAACACCAATGAACCGTTTGCGCAATTATGTTCGACCCCAACCATGCACTCGAAGAGCCACCCTGACGAGCCATCGGAGCCGTTGGGTTGGTCACGGAGATTAGAGAAGTCCGGACACGGGGGTCCGGCTGTAATGATGGTAGTACGGTCGTCCTGGGGCTGTAGTATCGATGTGATGTGCAACTCTATCGATGTCAAAGTTGCGGCGACGTCTCCCATCGGCACTGGAAGCGAAGTGGTGGGCGTCGATCTCCCGCGATAGAGTGAGGAGCACATTGTCATTGATGCGTCGTAGTGCCTCTGAGGCGACGCCGATGCCATCGAAGAAGGACAGATGTACAAGAGGTAGAGCACCAACAAGTTCGTGGCAAAGTGTAGTGACTCTGCCGCGTTGATCTGTCATCCGATGGTCGGCTCCAGAATCCAAGGATTCTGGGCCGCGCCGCCCTTGTTCGATTTGCCCTTCTTGTCGCAGGTCGCTGTGTCGTAGAAGGGGCGGGGTTGAAGGGCACGGTCGGGGTTGGCATTTGTGATGGGAATGTAGGGGACATCGGTTGTTGCCAGGTACTCGGAGAGGATGTGGACCACATCGGTGGCGGTGATGTCTGCCACGTCGGGTCGTAGATGTCGCAGTCCACGATGATGATCGATATCGTCGTCCTTGACCTGGGGGTGACCACCGTTGTTGGTGCCCCTTCCCTTTATCTTTGTATCCTTGATCGGCGCCCTTGCCTGTTCGAGGTCGTTTCGTGAGCGGCTGTTGCAGGGTGTCGGTGACACGAGTGACATCGGCCATGAGGTCGTCGGTGATCACGTGGATCGTCTCGGAGGTTCTCATCCTCATCGCGATGTCCCCAGAGAAATCTTCCCAAAGGCTCTTGACATTGGGAATTCGTTGTGCGTGTTTGCGTACGAGCTTGGCGAACCAGTCGACGTATTTATTGATGACCGTCTCGGCGGCGTACTTGACAGATGGGATCCACGCCCATCTTATTGCCTCGACGGCGTCGATCAGCATCCACTGTCCCCTGACATCCCAGTCTTCTTGGGCTTTCTCGGCGATGTTATTCCGATCGTCGATGACCAACCTCTTCTCGCAGCTGTCCTTCTTGCGGTTCGAGTTGATCGTGTTGAAACTGGTCCAGATTCGTTGAGAGATGATCTCGCCTAAGGATGTCGCTGTGTACATCTTGGAGGTATGGTGTTCGTGACACATGCGCGTCAGCACCTTCTCGGCTCCCAGGAGGTTGCGCTCGGGGAACTGTCGTCTCTCGCCGTCGACGGTGATGTCGTTTCGTTGTAGTCGCGGACGAGTTTGGCGTAGACCCCCGCCGGCAAGGACTTCGGGACGGCGGAACTCGTTGTCGCCGGAGCGGGTGTTGCCGTAGTCGAAGCTGCGGGGGAGGTCGTCGCTGATTGGTACGCGTGTCTCGCCGCCTGTGTGAGTACCATCCACTGCGCCTTGAGTGCATCCTCATCGGTGCGGTCTCCCAGTTTAAACTTTAAACTCGGTGTCTCCGACTTTGATGCCTGCTCGGAGCTTGACGATCAGGTCCGTGACAGTCGCATTATCGTGCAAGTAGGCGCTGATCGCGGCGTGGGACTTGAGCCCGATCTTCGCGAGGTACCGGGCCACGACATCGGTGGTCAGGTCTGCCCCGGCCAGCGCGGCCGCCTCGTCGAGTGGGTTACTGCCATGTGAACAGGCTTCTAGGATCGTCGACTTGCAAACACAAAGCTACCGGGCAAGAAGCATTCAGTCCCCTACTCGCTGAGTGCAAGGCGGGCGAACGGGGGCACAATTTCAAGGT